CACGCATGAAAGATGAAAGGTATGGAAACCGAATTCAAGAACGTGTGAAATTGCTTCATTCTTCATTGATGACCAATCTTTGTTAGTCAAACTGTTAAGACTTGAGTAGCAACACAACCCATGTATCAAGGACGCAGCTCCAAAGACGCTTGGCTTAAAACGACCGATATATCTTTTTTGTTAGCAAGAGATGGAATAGGCGCCAGTTCTTCACATTCGGTGGTATTTTCGATTGTTTCACTTGTTTCACTTAGGTTTGCTCTGGCGTTTGTTTTTGGTCGTTGTGACCAAGGTCAAAGGACTTTGGCCGCTGGCATCTAAGTACGAAGAAAGTAGAAGCGGCAACAGAGAGAAGCGGAAGGAACGGTCTTGAGAGAGAGAGAGAGAGAGAGAGATCTCTTTGGCGGTAGGTAGACAGAATGTTGCTTTCCTTTCTATTAGGAACAATGTTTGCTACTAGTAACAAGTGCATCGCTTCTAGTAACAAGTGCCTTACTAGTAGTAACAAGAAGCTAGTAGTAACAGGTGCATCGCTACTAGGAGCAAGTGCCTTACTAGTAGTAACAATATTTGCTATTAGGAACAAGAACGCCTTTCTGAGATTCCAAGGTTACAGCGATGATGATGAATCTTGCACGACAGAAGGCCTCAACGATGAATTGACCATCAAGCTTTGAAGACGGACAACGCTTTGGAATTGTTCCTGATCAATTGTTTCAAACCTTTTTGACACCCTTGCGGTATTTGTGACGACTTATTGTTTAGTGCCTAATCCATCAGGGTTGGTCGGCACAGAGCCCTGCCCTAAGCCCAAGGCTTCGCTAGCCTGAATGAATTTCTAGCCTAGGCATACAGACCCCCCAGCCTACTCTATATCAGCAACAGCAACACAGTATCCACATATACTCAAAAGACATGTGCGATTTGTCACTGCGAGCTTCACAGTGAGCAAGGCCAGCTAAATGCTGTTAAATGTACCAGCTCTAAGCTTCAAGGTTTTGAGTAGCTTGTAAATCTCAGTGCTATAACTGCTGGTGAGTGTTCGCAGCAAAGCAGTTTCCACTGTCACCGGGACCTATTTTTTGTAGTGCCCAGAGTGCAAGAGAGCAGTTGGACTTGTATGTGTTGCTTGCACGTTGTTAGGCTTGAGCCCGGGGGTTTGTGCATTGTCTTCTCTTGCGCGACCTTTGGCTAGCAAGAGGCCCGATCACGCGCCCATTTCCAAGTCTTGAGTTCATTTTTGGTGGCCAGTTGTCCTCATGATCCTTGATCACGGAGCAATGGTTTACATCGGTCAAGTTGGTTTTCATGTTGGATATTGATCTTCCTCTTTTCACTGGTCACCGGTCAGCAAAACACCCACAACCCCACGGCTGTGAGGCTGCGAAAGCCTGTTGCTGACTGTGACGAGAACGAGAGCCGCGAGGGGCTGGCGCGGGCCATGCCCACCGGCTGCAGACCCTCATGTAAATTAGCGTTCGCCTTGGACTGGTAAGTTCTCATGGCCTTGGGTTCCCATTCTGGAATTATGACATGATGAGGGGAAGGGAAGTTCAAAAAGGCCGAACCTGGGGAGAAACGCTTTGGGTTCTTGGAAGTCGCGATAATGGGAAGAGCGCATGACCTACAGCCTTCACAAGTTCAATCAGTGTAACGAGGTGCCGTTCCGAACGGTGACGGCTGGGACCTGGGTAGGTTAGAACGGGCCTTGGTGGCGAAGATTGAGGCGCGCCGCCCTTCACATTGAGAGAAAGGGTTTGCCGACACATTTTGCTGAAAAGACACTCCGCCACTTCGCCTTCAGCCAAGAACTGTTACTAGTAATTGGCAATCCTTTTAGTTACTAGTAGCTTCCTGCTACTACTAGTAATGAAGTAATGCCCTTAGTTACTAGTAGCGTCCTTGCTAGTAATATCTGTACCCAAAGCTGAAAGGACATGTAGACTTTCGCTTTTAGACTCCACAGCAGGCGGGCTTGGTGGGAAATCACAGCGGCTTTGACACGAGGAGGTGCGAGCCTCGAAGGCAAATCGGCGGAAAAACCGAACAGGTCAACAGCCAAATGTCCTGATTACTAGTAACAAGTGCATCGCTACTAGTAACAAGTGCCTTACTAGTAGTAACAAAAAGCTATTAGAATTAACTTAAAGTAAAAAGAAATGAACTAATAGCTTCTTGTTACTAGTAGCGATGCACTTGTTACTAGTAGCGTCTTGTTACTACTAGTAAGGCACTTGTTACTAGTAGCGAGGCACTTGTTACTAGTAGCTTCTTGTTACTAGTAGCTTCTAGCTACTTGTAGTAAGGCCAGGTAGTAGTGTCCTCGCTCCTAGTAGCGATGCCAGGAGCCCGTAGTAGCGTCCTTGTTACTAGTAGCAGACCCAGCCCCAAAAAGCCGTTTTGGAAGAAGCGTTTCTTTGCCCAAGCGTTGGACATCACAGCAGCGACAGCACAGCATACGTCGAAAGGGTGTCGTGACTCCTGTCTTGACTCACGGCGGTCGCCCAGGCTGCAAAGCCTGGAGAAGGACGACCGCCACGGGCACACGACATGGATGAGTTGCGTCTAGCGTAGTCAGCGTTTTGGAAGGAGTAGGTCCAGTAGTTCCAGATCTAAGGCCCTGTAGAATAGAACATGTAGTCTGGCTGCCAGGAGTTGCGGCCACTCTATTCCACACTCCCCCATGAAGTTCCACTGCCAGACATCGAGGCTAGCTTTCTGTTGCAGAGCGATTCCACCACAAACCATGCGACGCTCATTCTTGACATGTTTTGACATTGTTTACCTCAGGTGGCTGTTGACTACTGTTCAATCCATCACCTCAAGTGAAAATACTAAATGCCATCAGAAGCCCTTGACTGCCTCTGAAAAGAATGCCCTTGACATCAGGGCGGCCTCGGCTTGGTGTCCGCACGATATTTACTGCACCAGTACTTCCTGCGGCGGCATTCTTGGAAACTTGGCTAGCATCACATTGCCACACCATGACACACCATGACACTTTGTTTTGTTTGTGCCTTCTTTGATGATTTTGACGTGTTTGTTGAACAAGAAGCAACATGCTCTTTTGAGTTAGGCAGGTGCGTGGTCTTAATCCGGCAGGCAGGGTCCAAGCGCAAAGCACGCAGCATCCAGTTTCTTCAGCGCTCCCGGAGCTCCGAGGTGACGGTCGGCAGCCCCCAGATCATAAGGCCGGTCAGTCCCAGACCTCAAGTGACCGATGGTTTCAAAGCTGGTGTCTTAGTCCTGACAAATCTGAAGTTGACTGCAGGAGGCCTTACGCAGTCGTGTGGCTGGGCACCTGCTGGAGCTGCTGGAGCGCAAGGTGGAAAAGTCAAACCGGTCTTGACAAAAGTCCTCCAGACAAGTTCTAACCTAATAGCAATGGCCTCCAACCTAGTAGCCAATGCTCTAGACAAGTCCCAACCAAAGTCCTGCGTTGAAACAAGAGAGCTTGGAATCTGCAGAGACAAGAATCGCTACTAGGAGCAAAGGGCTACTAGGAACAAGCAGCTACTAGGGGCTCCTGGCATCGCTACTAGGAGCAAGGACGCTACTAGGGGCTCCTGGCCTTACTACTAGGAGCAATGTTCGCTACTAGGAGCTTTGACGGACGCTCAAACTCTCAAAAGCGCCAGGGCCGCCCTTTGGGGCCTTAGGGCTTTCACTTCTAAAGCGTTCGAGCGTGGCTCAGCTTGTGAGGTTGGTGCTCAGGGGCTGAATTTGAAGACACTGGCGACTTGGCTCAGAAAACCCGAAGATTTCGTGAGCTCGGGTCCCCATTGCTCCTAGTAGCGAACCTGGTTACTAGTAGTAAGGCCAGGAGCCCCTAGTAGCGTCCTTGCTCCTAGTAGCGAACCTGGTTACTAGTAGCTTCTTGCTAGTAGTAGTAAGGTGCCTTGTTACTAGGGCTCTTGACGGCTCTTGGACAATAGCCCCCGGTCCGCACGCCCGCACGCCCACTTCCGCTGCATGCGTGCACGGAACGAGTTAGAGGTGCCACCTGCGTAGTTCCTGGTGAACCTTGTGTGAGCTCCTGAGGCTGTGTTTGTGGCAACCCTGGAGCACCTGCTTCATGGGGATGAGCGTCTCTTGGCAGAGTTCAAGCAGAAATCCCACTGCGCAATCAGGAAATTCACCGAGACATGCGCTATAGGAGCAAGAAGCTACTAGGGGCTCCTGGCATCGCTACTAGGAGCAAAGACGCTATTAGGGGCTCCTGGCCTTACTACTAGGAGCAAGAAGCTACTAGGAACAAGAAGCTAACAGTTTTGAGTTCTCAACAGCGCTGACAGTTCGCTCGATTGACACATCAGACCGATGTCAGCACCACTTTCTTTTGATCGTGTGCAGAGCCTGGATTTTTTGGCCACCGATTTCTTGGAAAGGCCAACGTTTGAAGCAAAGCTGGACTGTGCACGATCTCAACCCAGAGGCTTCAAGAGAGACGTCGTAAACGTGGTAAACCAAACTTATTCTTCTGTTATTTTCTTTCTCTCCTTTAAAGCCCGCCCTTGCTTAACTAAGTAGGCGCCTACTTAATTAAGGGACAAACTTGTTCGCCCTTAGCCAGGACGCAGGATAGCTCACGCTTCTGCAGGGAAGCTCCCCGCCTGAGGGCGCGGGGAGCTTCCTTGAAGAAGCGCTCGCACTAATGATTTGGTTCCTAGATTCAAAGAAAGAACTTATGTTCTTTCTACCATGGGTAGACCATATGTGCAGTTGAGTTTTGTGCCCCTTTGTCGTAATTTTGCTTTGAAACCTGCTCATCAAGCTGGCCAGCTATCAGGATCTCACAGATGCAGAAGGCTTGCAAAGCGTTTTGGACGCTCAAGCAGAATTCAGTTCAGTGTTTTGAAGTTTGATTTGTCGGATAGATTTCCACTGACTTTGTTTTCTTGAAGGTTCCGCATTGTATAAGTGTAAAGTCAATCAATTGTTTCATTTAGTTCCTTGTGTCCTTGTTTCTGCCGAGTGGCTGCAATTCTGAGGAAGTGTTCATGGCACATTTTGTGTACTCCAGCCAGACGCTGTGCCAGCAAGTTGAAAGTGCTGTAATGCAGATTGAAGCAGAAAGATAGATGCCGCAGTGGTGGCCGCAATCGCAGTGGTCGCAGTCTCGCTGTCTGTGTGCGATTTGAGGAAAGCTCAAAGCGGCTATGCTCTGACGTTGCAAAAGGGCCGCGAAGAAGTAGCCTTTGTGGGACGTGTTTATGAGGCTCGGCACAAAAAGGATAGTGAGCATAGCCGGTGACTGGTAGCAGCCGCTAGCACTCAGAGGTATTTCAAAGACACACTCATTTCACCGTCAAACGGTATGCAACGTGTTTGCCAAGGATGGCTGGTCAAAAATCCGAAATGATATTCGCAACGGGATCAAAACACTTCGAGCCACAAGAGGCCTGGGGTGTATTGCCACATGTTGACACTATTTATATATTCGTTGTATTTGCTGCTTCGATTGTAAGCACAAAGACTAAGAGAGAGCCAGGTACAGACCTCAGTTTTGAGGATGCGGTGCAAGTAGCTGACCAGGCGCCCGCTCTGAATTCGGTGTCCACTGCACAGCGAATCTTTCAATTCCTTTCTTGTTCCTAGTAGCGATGCCCTTTGCTCCTAGTAGCGATGCCAGGAGCCCCTAGTAGCTTCCAAGAAACTGCAGACATGACAGAAATGCAGGAAACATAAAAGTGCGCTGTTTTTCAACTTTGCAGACTGGCAGGTGTTGGAATATTTCCGTGATGTCTCTGGCTCCATGTGTCAAACTGCCGGGTTTTAGGAGAGGCCGTGTGATGGTAAGAACACACATTATGTTTTTTTTGCAACGTGCGTTTGCGTTTGCCAGGTCGTGACATGGCCGAAAGCTTGGTTCGAATGCCCGGTGGAAAGCAGGGCAAGGTGCCATTGTCTGAAATGCGGAAGAAGGACCTTTTCCGTAACTTGGACGGAAGAAACTACTAGGAGCAAAGGGCATCGCTACTAGGAGCTACTAGGGGCTCCTGGCATTACTACTAGGAGCAAGGGCATCGCTACTAGTAACAAGTGCATCGCTTCTAGTAACAAGTGCCTTACTAGTAGTAACAAGAAGCTAGTAGAAACCAGTGCCTTACTACTAGGAGCAAGAAGCTACTAGGGGCTCCTGGCCTTACTAGTAGTAACAAGAAGCTACTAGGAGCAAAGGGCATCGCTACTAGGAGCTTTGACGGCGCTTTTTGCGTTCTGAGTCGAAGCTTCTCCTCCTTCCCTTGGAAGCTTCTCCGAAGTGGGAGAAGCTTCGTTCTCAAGCCCCGCCCAACAAACGAAAAGGGTTTGAGAATCAAGGAATAAGAACTGACTACTAGTCCTAGTAGCTTCTTGTTACTACTAGTAAGGCACTTGTTACTAGAAGCGATGCACTTGTGCCAAAGAAGAAAAGGAAAGGCAGCGAAGGAAGAGTCAGTGAGGTGAGACGATGGACTATCTCCGTGCTGCCAATGCCCTGGACGAGTCCACTCGTGATCCTGTCGTGCTGGTTCCAAACTACATGTGCCTGTCCCGCACATTGAGATGATTGTGAAAGATTTGTGAACACCCATTCACAAGGACGCTACGAACGTAGCTCCTGGCCTTACTAGGAACAAGGACGCTACTAGGAACAAGTGCCACGCTAGTAGTAACAGGTGCCTTACTAGTAGTAACAAGAAGCTATTAGGAACAAGTGCATCGCTACTAGTAACAAGGACGCTACGAAGGACCTGGAAAACTTGTTTGAAACCTGTTCGGGCCAGGTTGGGTCCATCCAACTGTGACGGCACCACTAGACGCTTGACTTCACATGTGAGAGAAATGCAGCTTGACACGTCGGTCCGAGTGGAGGGCATCGTTTCCTGGGAGCAAGAAGCTATTAGGGTGGAGGCCATCACTCGTGGGTTCTCTTCTTCCGAAGATGCACCTGTTACTACTAGCTTCTTGTTACTACTAGTAAGGCACCTGCTCCTACTAGCGATGCACTTGTTACTACTAGCGTCCTTGTTGCTACTAGTAAGGCACTTGTTACTACTAGCGATGCACCTGTTACTACTAGGGTCCAAGAGGGCGAATCGCACTTCCTAGGCTTCTACGACCTTTGCTGTCCGGACCCGTGTGAAGGCGCGGCACAGAGGGACTTCCAGATGCGCGTATGACTTGTCACGCACAATGTGAACTGTGTGCTACCACAGTGGTTACCACTGGTACTACTTGCACTCCCACCTCACGCCAGTCAGTGGTTGTGGACCTTATCAAGACTTGAAGCAAGTCTTCTGTCAGGAAGTGAAGCGCAGCTTGCTGTTTTTGATCGTTGCCCTTTGTGACTCGAAGGCCAGCGTGCCTTCTTTGAGGAAGCCGTGATGGATGGCCAACCTGCAGTGGCCATCGAGCAGATTGCACGAGAGCAAGGCTTGGGGGGCATCGATGACGTGTTCTGGCGCCAAGAAAGCATTGTGGCAAGGAGTAGTGAAATGTGAAATGTAAAGTTCACCCAAAGGCTTCTACAAAAAGGGCTCGTACCATGCCCTAATGGCTGCCGCAAGATGTCGCAGACGCAATATGTCGTAAAGTGAATGCAGCATTGTTTGGCAATTGAGGGCTCACGTAGGCCCACCCAAGTGGGAATCAAGCTCAACATGGGAGGTTCCGCCGGTTGCGGGCGGTTCCTGAAGCAAGCTTGTAGACTTAAATGTTGGGTCTATTAGCTTCTAGCTACTAGCAGCGATGGCCTCCAACCTGATAGCGATGGCCTCCAACCTTGTTCCGTTCAGTACAAATCTGAATCCTTTAGGCGCCTCCTCCCGTATGTTGCCAAAGCTTCATCAGCTGCTGGAAAGACAGGCTCCACCGTCTGAACGCGTTGACGGACTCATTTATGTAGTGTTTCAATATGTTTCAAAATAGCTTCTTGTTACTAGTAGTAAGGCACTTGTTCCTAGTAGCTTATTGTTTCTAATAGCTCATTGTCTGGAACTAATAACATCATACCAGACCACAAATGAGACTTAAGAAAGAAAAGACATCAACAAAAAGAGGATGAGGCACCTTTAATGAGGCCTTACCTTCCTAAACTTCATCTTGTTTTTCTTCTCAAGTCTGATATATCTATGTTCTGACAACATTTGAAGACAAGATAATAAGACTTGACATTCTCAGACTTACATTGACTTGAGTTAGAGTGACAGGCAGCACTTCATGGCCACGATTTCTCCATGCTCCAGCCTCGACAGTCTAGTTCCAAAAAGCAACAGAGAGATATGGTTCAATGAAGGTGTAGTTCTGACGAAAGGGCTACATTTCTTCAGAGTTGCAGGTCTTTTTCCCACTTGTGAAGTCTCCATTTCTTACAATTCTAAATAATTTCTTATTGTCACTAGTAGTAAGGCACTTGTTTCTAATAGCGAACTTTGTTACTACTAGTAAGGCACATGTTACTACTAGTAAGGCAATTGTTCCTAGTAGCGGAATCGCGCTTTACGCGCGGAATCGCCTGAGGTGGTTCCATGAGGCCTTCCCGGACCGCTGCCCACGCCCCCTGAAGGGTGATGCGGTGCCCGACGCCAAGGCAGAGTTCCAGGCAACGGCGCAGGTGGGGAATCAAACGGAAAGTGGAGCTAAGAGCGATGGCCTCCAACCTGAGCACGGTGGACAACGTTATTTTTCTCTTTTCAATATGTTCAATCGTGCAGGAAATTGGAAGCAAGAGCAAAGTCAGTGAACAAGAACGCATATGGTTGTGCAATATTCAAGCTTTTGCGAGGCTATCAGGATGAGCTCACCACCTTGTACCAATTCTCTACCAAACTCTCAAGAACCTCCCAAAAACAACATTTTAAACTGCTATATATATACATATAATGTGCATGCCCACCAGCTTCTCCAGCTTCTTCCTTCTCTTAGAGGTTGCAAGAAGGATAATAGATTCACAAGCAAAACTATTTTGTCAGCCAGCTTTGTGAGCTTCTGTGGGAGATCGAAGTTGCCAAGTGGCAAAGAATCATCTTCCTTTTCTCAATGTCTTTCCTTCTGAATGCTTTCTCCAGAGCCAAGCATGCTGATCCCTGACAGGTCGAGTCTTTATTTGAATGGTGAGCGGCAGAATTCTTTAAGCTTCTCCGACACTGAGAGCCAATGTCCATCACCTGGAGATTGCAGTGATCGGGTAGATACATACAGACCTTCATTGATTCCAATCAGATCTTATTTACTTTGAGAGCAAAGGTTTGCGCTGTTGCTGACTTGAGCGCAAATCGTGCTTGTTCTCGGAAGTGGGCCCATTGGCCAAAAGAGAATCAAAAGATATGCAAGTTTATACAGTCTGTGCCAATATGTGATGGGCTTGTGATGAGACAAGATCAACCATTCTGAGCAAGAGACAGAAGTAACAAGAAGCTACTAGTAACAGGTGCATCGCTACTAGTAACAGGTGCCTCGCTAGTAGTAACAAGAAGGTTTTATTTAATTTAATTCAGACAGATGAGCACCGCGATACACCTTGTGCAGTTTGGGCCTGGCGTTGCCGATGCCACGAAGGAACGGGAAGAAGGCTTCCTGGGCAACAGGTAGTGCTTCAACCACTGTTCCTAGTAGCGTCCTTTGCTCCTGGTAGTAAGGCCAGGAGCCCCTAGTAGCTTCTTGTTACTACTA